TTCAGTCTGTTCACTGAGACTGGGAAGTACGTAGGTATTATTTCTAATACAGTGTGACTTAGAGTTCTGGAAAACTTAGTCACTGTAAAATAGTATACCATATGGTATAAGGAGCTGTGAAGTAAATAACTCAGATGAGCTATGAGTTATTTAATGCATTACTCCTTATACCATATGGTACGGTATACTATTTTGCAGTGATTTGAGTCATAGGGACATTGGGCTGGAAGGGATTTCTTAGTTCATTTGTTCAAGAGTGTACAAGAACATCTGCCTCAGCCCCTCTCATGAGCAACTAAAATAGGTGGAAAAATTCTTCTTTGCTTATAATGCAAATTCTTCTGGTCATGGATTACATCTTCCTCTTTATATTGACAGTGGCCAGCACATCCTCATGCTATCCCAGCACCAATAAACACTTTGGAGAGTGGACCAGGCAGGGCGGATATTTTAATGGCTGGACATTGTGCCTTTGTGCTCCCACCGTACTGATTCAGAATTTGGTAACGAGATGTCTAAATTGGGTATGTTTCATTCCAGTGCATCTGCTAGCACAGTCCTTTAATCCAGGGATCCATCTTAATCCAGTGTAAGGTGCTTGATCCGTTGTACCTGGGGAATGGCTCATTGCTTGGGTTTTGGTCAAGCATCTTCAGAAAGGGGCTGGCTTCCTGAGCGGGGTCATGGTGGCTGTTGTTGAAACTTGGGGAGATGCAGTGCTGCCTTGACTCGTGTTTTTTTTATGCATTAACCCATGCATTTATTTGCATTAACCCTGCGACTGAACCCAAGGGCCGCTCGCTGTGGCAGAAGTGGAGGATGGATGCTCTGCAGGAGGGGGTTTCTTTGTGAAATGACAGTTGTGCAGGCAGCAGTGCACATAGTTCCCCCAGGGCAACTAAAGCACCGCAGGCAGGGTATTCCCCATCCCCTTTGCAGAGGTGTAGCTCAGCAACCCTGTGCAAGGGACACTGGCAGCCTGCAGCTGAGCGCGCATGCGCAAGGCGAGGCTGCGCAGGGAACGCCGGGAAATCGAGTCCTTGGGGCGCGGGCATGCCGGGAGCAGCGGGGGGGGTGCGCGGGGCATGCCGGGAGCAGTAGTTCGGCGCAAGGCATGCCGGGAGCGGTAGTTCGCGGCTGGGCGGCGCCAGGTGATGGGCAGCGCCGAAGCGGCGGCGCTGGGATCGCCCGGCATGGAGGTCGGGCCGGCCGGGGAGCGGCAGGACGGCAGGTGCGGGCCAGGGAGCAATGCGGGAGTACTCGTGTGGGCAGCATGGGGGTTATCATGTGGGGAGTATTAATGGGGATCAGTTCGGGATCAGGAACTGGTGGGGGTACTATTGTGGGGGTGGGGCAGCGCTGGGGTAGTAATGGGGGTATGAGGTATCAGTAATTGCTGGGGGTAATGGTGTGGGGGATAATAATGGGGGAATGGGGCAGTGCTGGGGTATTAATGGGGTGTGGGGGGGTAATAGGAGGTTGGGGCAGTGCTGGGGTAATAATGGGGGTTGGGAGGTATCCGTAACTGTTGAGGGTAGTAATGTGGGGAGGGTGTGGGGGTAATAACAGGGGGATGGGGCAGCACTAAGGGTAATGGGAGTGTAAGGTATCAGTAACTCATTGGGGAAGTAACAGGGGTATGTGGGGCAGCATGGAGAGTAATAATGAGTGATGAGGTGGTGCTGGGGTAATAATGGAGGGTGTGAGGTATCAGTAACTGCTGGGGGTAATAAGGCAGGGGGGATGGGGCAGCGTGGGGGTAATAATGTGGGGGTGTGGGGCAGCGCTGGAGTAATGCGGGTTTGGGCTGGGCAGCACTAGGGTAATGTGGAGTAGCGCTGGGAGTAATAATGGAGGTATCAGCGACTGCTGGGGTAGTAATATGGGGGTGGGGCAACATGGAGGGTAATCATGTGGGGGGATGGGGCAGTGCTGGGTATTAACGGGAGGTGTAAAGTATCCAGGAGTGCTGGGAGTAATGCTGTAGGGGCAGTGCTGGGGTAGTAACGTGGGCAGCGCTGGGGCAGGTGTGTGGGTAGCTCTGCCTTACCTGGGGTGTGGCTGGAGACTTTGGGGGGACAAGCAGGCTGCACGTGGGCTGCAGCTGAGCGCGGGGCAACGGGTGCGTGTGGGTGTGCAAGGGAGTCAGCACGCAGGGGTCTGAGCTCCGCTTTGAGCTGCCCCCTGCCCAGCGAGGGTGCAGCCCTGTCTGCCCCATCACCAAGTCGCTCTGCCCTAGCCCGGGTCAGCGTCGGGGCTGTTGGGAACAGCCAGAGCTGCGGGAGCGAGGACAGAGCTGCCTGCCTGTGACCTGCCGCTCTCTTGCCTGTTGGCAGCTCTGCCGCGGAGGTGCAAGGCTCGCTATTCATCCAGCCTGCCCTTACGTGACAGACCCGTGCCTGTGGAGGCAGTTGCTTTTGGTCTCTGCCCTGTTACGCTTCTGGCAGTCGGCTGCATTTTTGGCAACGCTGCCTGTTGTAGGAGCGTCAATGAAATCCTTAACCTGCCTTTAAAAGCTGCTGGGTTGTGAGGCTTCACACCGCCTCGCAACCCAGCACGGTGGATTCGGTGGTGCTGAACAGGCAACCTGTTTAAAACAGCTCAGGCTTTGGGTTCTGCTTTAAAGTTGGCTTCCTGGGCTGAATGTGGAAGCTACTCTCCAGGTTTATTCTGCTGACAACCGTCATTGATTTTAGGCAGCATCCACTCTTCCAGGTCCTGGGATGCCATCTAGTTCCAGGCAGAGGTGAGCGGTGGAGAGGAGCTTGGGTGCCTGCTGTGGCAGGACAGTTGAAGCTGTGGGTGGCTGGGAAGCATTGGAGGCTGTTTGCAATAAGCATCCCAACAGGAAGTTTCTGCTAATAAAGAATATCAGTAACCGCCGTGCCATTTTAACTGCAGCTAGGTCCGAGTTGGCTTGCTGGGGTGGGTGGGGTGGCTGCACTTCTCTACACTGCTGCATCCGGCTCCCTGATGATTTGGGAAGGAGTGGCAGTGAGCACACCTCTGTCATGGGGTGCAGAGGTATCTTTAGCCGGTCTCTTGTTTCTGAGCAAAGCTTGGAGAGGCAAATCCCAGTGCTGTGGAGCACTGCCCTGCCCCAGCGTGTGCTGGAAATACAACAGCTGCAGTGATATATTTCACTGTAGCGTTGTGACAGGTCTTGGTGGGGGGGTTAGGAGCCCTGGAAAGCAAGTGGCAAGTGTTAATGGTGGACACATCAGGGTTTGCCTCGGTTCCCCCTGGGAAAGAGGAGGACACGGTCCCCTTTGGTGGGTCACTTGACTGATAACAGGTTGCTCAGCGGTACGTGCTTGGAAGGAGTCTGGCATTCCCCGTGCGCAGCATCGTCCTGCTCGCTGGTGCTGGCTTCTGTATATGTGCCATTGCACTAGGTGCAGAGGGCACATGATTGAGACTGAAGGTGAGGGAGAGGGCCTGTCAGAGAGGCTTCCTGCTTTGGTCATAAATCCCAGTCACTGCAGATGTAAAAGGCTGGTTGGGTGGAGACCCAGGACCTGGAGAAGAGGAGGCTCTTGTGTCTGCTTTGCTCCATGGATGTGTTCCAAGCCTGTCACTAAAGAGCAGCCAGAGCAAAGGCCTCGTTGAAAGCAGGGCAGAGGCCAACCATCTCCTTCAGCTGGCAAAGTGGCATTCGGTGCCGGGGGGCAGGGCACACGGCATAAAAGAGGCATCTGTGTCCTGACAAACAGTGGAAGGTTCCTTCTCCATGGGGAAGCCCCGAGAGAGCGCAGACTAAGCAGCAGCTGCGTGTTTGACCTTCTGGGTCTCAAGGCGAAGGGGAGGGTGGGGGGAGCAGAGCCCAGACAGCAGAGTCCTTAAGGGGAAATCGGGGCGAGCAGCTGCGGCATAAAGCAGCTAGTGTCACTGTGTGCAACATGCAGAACCAGCCAGCGCCTCTGGCCAGCTGTTTTGCTCTCAGAAACACCCCTGTGGTATTATGTGGTGCCATTGGACTGCCATCTCCCAGCATGGATCGCCTGGGGGGGTTACATGCATGAGCCTAGGGGCTGCCCTCTCTACACACCCTCTTCTCCCCCTCTTCCATGCACATCATGCCGAGCAAGTGCAGGGGTTTCTCTTGGGTCCTTTTATTTCCCTCGGCCGTCCCTAAGAATGTGTTGGACTCTTAGAACCAAAATCGCCTTCCTTGCAGCTTACCCCCCAGTTGTGTTTGGGGTGCAGATCCTGGCGATAGCATCTAGAAGCTGCATTTCAAGAGCATGCCACAGGCCTATAACAGAGCTGGTCCTTGCGCTGGTATATATATTAGTGCTGGGTTGGGGGACTGGCTTTTCAAAGAGCTTGCCGGCTTCCAGATAAAGGACTATTGAAATGTTCTGCAAAGCAGAGCCATAGCCTAGCAGTGCCTGTGTGGGCTGGAGGCCGATAGATGCATGTCCATGTTGTCACAGCTTGCAGGTAGCATGCCTGCGGAGCAACTTAAGGGTCACCCAGGTCCTGGAGGCTGGTATCCCCTCTCCCATGCAGTTCTTGCCACTCGTGTTTGCAGCATGTGGGCCTGGTGAAGAAAATTTGCCATATGGTGTCTGTTTTGAGCCTGCAGGAAGAACGTTGCTCCTCAAGCTTTCGGGCTGACATTTCTGCGAAACAGCAAAATTATATGTGTGGGAGGAGAAAAACCAAGCCTCTAGGTGCTTTTCTGGACTCTCAAGCCCCTGGCTAAGATGGGACGGGCTTTCCAGCAGGAGGTGTGAGTGGGGTTTGCCCGTAGAGCCTGGGCCGTGCAGCTATCCTGGCTTTGCCACCAAGTGTAATAACCAAAGTGCCTTGCAAACCTCCACAACTTAACCCCTCGATATGCTGTGCATGGATGCTTGCCCTCTGTACTTGGAGGTCCTTTGGACTTCCTCTGCCTGTTCTGCTGTTCCCTGCTGAGTTAGATGGCTTGCTGGAGGTCTGCTTTTTATTTTCCTCTTCCTGGCATGCCAAGCCTGGGTGAGGAGCAGGCTTCCTGTTGGCTGCTTGTCGTCTAGGAAACCAAACAGGGACTGCTGAAAGCCGGCTGTGTTCAGCAGTGGCTTTACAGGTCACCTTTAAAAGTGGCGAGAGGCACTGGCAGCAGACCTGGGAACGGCTTCTGCTCTGTGGAAACCCCGCAGAGATCCCTCAACAGTTCCCTGCAGACCCAGCTCTTTCTAATGCAAAGAGGGACTGGGTGACCTGAGGTCAGGAAGAGCATCAATTCCTCCTGTGTTCCCTTTAAAATGGATGGTGGTGCCTGCTGCAGAAAGGGCACATGGGCTTCGGTGGGCAGCAAGGTGAAAATGGGGTTCCAGGCTGATAATCTGACTGCTGTTTGGGTTTTTTTTTAGTCTTATTCAGCAGCACAGCTCCCTGATTGTGCCCTGAGTCATCTGCACTGACTTCACTTCACCAGGCCCTGCTTTGATTTCTCCTAACCCCGTCTCATTCTTGCAGTCCTGGGAAGGGACTCGGAGGTTATTATGTCTTTGCATTGCTAAGGGAGCTCCGACTCTTCTGGCAGAGGTCACACCTATGAAACAGCTCCTGGCACTAGGCTGGCATGTGTGAGGCTGCCCGCACGCTCTGCTCGGCAGCATCTTTGCCAACTGCCATGCATAAATGAGACAGCTGGGGCGAGTTTGCAAGGCTGGAGGTGAAGTCATTGGAGCATCATTGCAAGGCTGGAAATGAAGTGTGGGGACACTGGAGCATCTTTTTTTAAAGTGGGACATACTTGAATTCTCTTTGAAATACCAGTGAGACTCACTAGTTTGGAAATCCTAAAATGCTGCTTCTTTCCAGCATGTATTAATGCTCCCTCCCTGATTTCTGCAGGTTGTCCAGCCTGTGTTAATGCTCCCTCCCTGGTTTCTGTGGGTCAGAAGTTGGTTGCCTAGTGCTGGTTCCCAGTTCATGAGGTTTTTGCAGTGACGAGCTGTGTGAACACTTTCAAGTAGGGAGCCTCGCTGGGTGTCAGTCCAGGATAGGCACAATCTGCACAGGGCCAGGTACAGTGTCGAGGTTGATCCCTGTGCCCGGGTGCCAAAGCTGCCATACTTGGCCCAGCTGCAAGTTGCTTCGTGGCTCTGTGCCTTCCCTGCTGGGGTCAGGCAGTTCTCCTTTGTTGTTTTTTTGATGAGTTGTTTTTTTTACAATTCCTGATAACTGGCGGAAGTCTGCCTTGTCCAGCCCTGTATCCCTGGCAGCAGAGATGGGAGGATC